TAGAAACTGTAGCTTGCCTTTATCCCATTTGATTGTCAAGAAAAATTAGTGCCTGGGACCGGCCAGAACCTTAGTCAGTTACATAGGCATTGGTTGTCCTGGCATCCTGCTTTCTCTTGGTTCTGTCTCTTGCACACTGGGCAGGCAGGGACTAGAGACTTACTTAGGAGTCTCTGGCATATTAAAGGGTCATAAATATGGACCACATCTCCTACCTGGAATTTAATCAGAATGAACTCGAGGAAAGTCTTCTGCACTACTAGAAACCTTGAGATGACTCAGCACCCTGTCAATCATTTCTATCACTCTTACCCAGAGACCTACTGAGCGACCTCCAGGCCTGAGTACGCATCTTTTTAAATGTGAAGGCCTGGTTTATCTGTGTGCAGTGCCTTTTACTTTCCTGTCATCCTGACACCACTTTTATTTGTTGGTACAGACCTTCCCAAGCTCAGCTTCCCATGACTGTCAATAAATGTAGCTGCTTTCTATTTTACTGTTGGAATTATGCTTTACAAATCTTTGTATACAACAGCTTGGAATCTATCTCTTGTATCCATCCCATGGTGTCATTTGTTGAGCCAGCTTGGAGACAGCAGACAACAGCAGACATCAACAGGCAGAAGCCCTGCCAGAAAGGAAGATAACTCTCCCGTCTGGGGAGACTTTCTTCTCTTTTTTATAAGTGATCAATAGTGCATATTGTCAACATGGGGATACAAGGTGACTGGACTGTGGAGTGAATGGCTTTAGCCTTTGCAGGGGCAAAGAGGATTTCTTTTGAACAGTTGGGGTTGTATTTTGCTGATGGTCCTTGCAGCATGGATATTCCTCTCTAGTAGCCTTGATTTCCCATGTCTTCAGGCAGCTGGCAAGGTTCATGGCTCTTGTGGGCAGTGGGAAACTGGGGTTGTGATGCTTTAACCTTTTAACCAAAAGTCCTCTTGGTGGATTCCTTGAAGCTTCTCATGGGTCTGGGTCTACCTGATATTACCAGTTTTATTGCTGACATGCAGGTAGAGTCCCGTGTAGTATAAAAATATGTCTTTATACAAACTTTTTTGTGACATTTTCCATTTTGGTTTTTACAATAGTACTTCTCTCAGTATGTGACACCAAGTACTAGAGAGTACAGTAGGCCACAAGCCCTGGAACCTGTAGATTTGAGTGGCTACTTCGATAAAACCAACTTTTTGGGTGCTCTCCTATGGCTTACTTTCCTTTCTTCTCTCTCATAAGGAAACTCTGGTCCCCGTCTTGTCCCTGATACTTTTGTTTATTAGAAAATTCACATTCTTTGGCTTCTTGGGGCTGGTCAACTGAGGGGAAACAGAGTTGAGAAGTACATACTACCTTAATGCTTGTGTTGGGAACAAAAGGAAAAAAAAAACAAAAACAAAAAACAACTGTGTGTTTTAAAAGTTTTCACACCAAAAGAGGCTACATGGCAGCTGTTGAAAACAGCAGTGGAGACTGTAATTCTTCTGAGTTCTACAGCTGATTTATAGCTGTCTCCTCCTGGGGTTACCTCTCTAATACTGTTTTTCTCTCCCTGTTCTACTCAGTTTTGCTTTTGTTGTGATAAGATTGTAACTTGTGTTTGCTGACTGAATTTTCACTGTGCCTAGCTTTTTGTTGTGAAGTCTTGTCACCAGATGCATGTGTTTTTGTGGCTTGAGCTAGCAAAAATGTAAAAAATTGTCAGTGTTTTTGTGGTCTCTCAGGGGGAAATGCCTACTATCTCTCTTTAGACAAATGTTCTGTCTAATTATAATTGTTCTGTCTAATGTTCTGTCTAAATTATAATTGGCGTGAGGTGTCCAGCCAGGAGAGTACCCCAGCTCTGGACTCCATGTCCAGAAGATGGGTTATGTGCATAGAGGGAGATTCAAAGCTTAAAAAAAAAAAGTTTGGTGCTGGCATCACATAAGACCAGTTACTATTGTCCCCAAGGAGTTTAGCTTTATCAGGGGACACTCTGAACTGGACACGGAATTTAGCCCCACCAGGTCACAGCCTTGGGGCTGAAAGTCTTGAGGTACCCTACCAGGAGGTGCCCTGTAGTGTCCCCTCAGATGGGTCGGAGACTAACCTAGGGCTAGGCCTGTTGGTTTTTGTGGGCAGGAAGAGGTGCAGGAAACCTAATTTGAGGGATGCTTTATCCATCTCATTTCTCTTCTTGTTTAATGCCTTCTTAGATGGATATTCATACAAAAAAATTGGGTAGATTTTTTTTGAGGACTCTGAAAAGTTTGCTGATGTTTTCTGTACCCTCACAATGGCTTTTGATCTGACCTGGCGAGATGTCCAGTTCATCCTGGTTTCTTGCTGCACATTAGTAAAAGAAGCTTGGATCTACCAGTGAAGGGTCTGATAATCCAGTTGCTTTCCAACTTTGGTAAAAAAAAGCACTCTGTAAATAGATCCAGAGTCCAAGGAAGATCATATTATCCTAGGACAGTATTTTATTAGTCAGCTCCAGATATTAAGAGAAGGCTCCAGAAACTCCAAGAGTTTCGGGATTATAACATTGTAATACCTGGCCCAATTGGTTTATCTGGTTTCCAGTAATTGTGAGAAACTAAAGTTAAAAAGTAGTAGACTAAAGCTATGCTCTCCTTAATGAGTATAAAGCCCACAGCACTAAGGAAAACTGAAGTGATCCAAAGATTGAAAAAGGCAAGTCAGACTACTTCATGCACAAGGCACTGGGGCACTGGAGAAAAGAATGCCCTCTGTGGCTACCCAACCCATGTCAGGCCTATCAGGACACAAAAGATCCTTGGCATTAGAGGAAAGACTGCCCTTATTCCCAGAGAGGGATGAGGTCAGCCATCACCCTGATTGCCAGGGAGAAATGTTCAAATAGCAAAGGATGTTGCCTCAAGAGGCTTGCATGGCCCCCACACAAAGTTACCCTCATCACCTTCAGGCACCTTGGGTGACCCAAGATATAGCAGGCAAGCCACTGTGACACTGGGGCATCTTACTCAATTCTAATTTCTTAGAATTAGAAAGAGGTGAGGGTGAGGCTTCATCCCATTTCATAGTTGTTTGGGCCTTGCAGGAATTAGCTGGTTGGCTTTCTTTAACCCCCACTCTAAACTGTCATTTGGAAGATTTCCTTTTCCAAGATACCTTTATGGTGACACTGGGGTGCCCTATACCAGTAATTAGAAGAGATATACTTCTTTATGCTCAGAGCCACCCTGTCATTCAAACCTCTGGCAACCTGTGACCTACCTGTTAGGGATTCAACCAACCTAACCCCACCTGGAGTTAAATGTATGAAGGCACCCTGGCAAGGACTGTGACAGCCACTCTTGTAGTGATTTAGCTGAAGGAACCTAATTTATATCTTCACAGAAGACAGATTTTCCTTAAGGAAAGGAGCTAAAGCCTATTATTGATAAATTTTTGGCTACAGGGTTGCTGGTGCTGTGACAGTCCCCATGCAAATCACTCATTTTACTAGTAGTCAAACTGTTAGGATAGGATCTTGTGCAAGATCTCAGAGTCATCAAGGAGACACAGGCACCTATTCTCTCATTAGTAGCAGACCCATACACCCTTTTAGCACAGATCCCAGGAGACACTAAATGGGCCTCTGTCCTTCATCTCAAGGTTGCTGTCTGTTTTTATCCCTGGGGATGCTAACTCCCAATACTTGTTTGCTTTTGAATGAGAGGATCCCTAAACAAAACTTCTTCAGCAGTATACTTGGACTGTCTTGCCTCAGGGTTTTAGAGACAGCTCCACTTGTTTGCACAGGCTTTAGTTCAAGAGCTGAGAGATTTCAAATTCAGAAGGAGAAGCCCAAGACAGTATGCAGATTACCTCTTCATTTGTAGCCCCACCCAGGAGTTACCTGGTAAAAACACAATCAAGACTCTCAATTTGCTAACCAAAAGAATAGATCCTACAAAAAGGAGTTATAAGGCCCAGATTTCTCAACAAAAAGTGACATATCTGGAATACATTCTAACACCAAGACAAAGATAACTGTTCTCAAGAACAGAAAACTCTATCTGGGTCCTCTAGAGTCCAGGTAACAGCTGAGAGCTTTCTTGGAAATGATGGACTTCTGTTGCATAAGTAGGTACCCCATTTTAGAGTAATAGCCCAGACCCCTGTATGAAACAACCTGAGGACCAAAAACTGAATCCTTGGAATGAACAACAGTCACTCAAGAGGCCTTTAAGTGGGCCTCATGCAGGCCCCATCTTTAGGGATCTCTGACCTAACTAAGGCTTTTTCTCTCTTCATAGCTAAAAAAAATGGGGTAGCCTTGGCAGTGCTAGCTCAGTGTCAAGGCCAGGAAAACTGACCTGTTGCAATGGAGTAACACAGGGCTGGCCTAGCTGCCTGCAAACAATGGCCACTATGAACTCTTAGTCTAGGAAACTTCTAAAATAACCTTGGGACAAAAGCTCTTAGTTCTAACCCCGCACCAGGTTAGAACTCAAGGGACATTAGTAGATGACTGAAGAAAGGCTCACTAAATATAAGGCCTTCCTTATTAAAAACCCAGATGTCTTTCTTCAGTCTTCAAACCATTCTAAATCCAGCACCCTCCCCACAACTAACCAACAGGTAGAACAGGAGTGTAAACAAACCACTGCACAAAGCTATGCCACCTGCCCTGATCCAAAGGACCAGGTATTAACAGGGATGGCTAGCACGTGTTTTGCAGATGGCAACCATTTCATAAAAGATGGAGTTAAGAAGACAGGGTATGCTATAGCCTTACCCACATCCCTGAAACAAGAGGACATTCTCCCTCCTGGGACTTCCACCCAAAAGGTAGAATATATTGTCCTTACTTGGGCTCTCCAACTGCCTCAGGCAAGAAGGTTGACATTATGTACTAACTCTAAATATGCCTTTCTGGTCTTATATATGCAGAGAGCCATCTCAAAAGAGGGTGCCTCAAATGAACAACATTCCCTAAATGACAAGGGCCTCATACAACCCTTATAACCACTCCTTCTGTTATTAAGGTACATTAAGATTCACCTCTCCAAGATAAAACTCAAGACACCAGAAAACAAAGAGACCATGAATCTCATGAACTGTGAACCAGTGGGCAACCATAACTCTCTATTGGGAAAGAAAAACAACAACTAACCTGTTGAACCAGATAAGTCAAATGCTTTGTTCCCTCTAAGTAAATTGTGTGGCTTGTCTTATTACTGTCTTGTTTGATACACTTGAAGTCCTTTCCCCAATTTAAAATATGACCTCTTTTGGTTTTTTTCTCATTTCTTTTGGGATCCTCCTAGGTGATTCAAAAACTGCCTCTAATAGAGATAATCAACAATGATTCTTATACAAAACCTTAAAGCTAATCACATTTTTCTCCTAGTATTAAAAACTACCTAAGAACTTGAGAAATAGCCTAGACAAAGTTGCCCAGAGTTTTGCTGTCCTTCAAGATCAAATAGGTTCATTAACAGAGCTGGCCATCCAATACTGTAGGGGCCTAGATCACCTAAACACTAAAACAGAGGGGGTTAAGTATGTCTCTAAAAGAAAACCTTAGTCCTTATGTAAATCAGTATCAAGTGAGGATAGAGCACAAAAACTGGATGACCATGCTTCTAAAGATCCACAAAAAGTCATGGATGTCCTGGCCAAATAGCTAAAACTGGAAGTTTTAGTTATTATCTTGGACATGGCCTTTATTAATGCTTCTCACAACCTTACTGTTTATATCTTCTATACTTAATCTTCTAGTCAAATTGGCTTTTTCTTCTTCGTTACCAGATGTTAAACTACTAATGATGGCTCAAGCCTAGTATCAAAACCTGCCCGCACAACTATGGCTCGTTAGAAACCATGAAATCAGACAGGGTGAGGGTTCCTTAGTCTCCACATAGGCAGACCCAGAGCACCCATTTAGCAAGAAGTATTCATGGAACCCTTCCTCCTTCTGCAACCCTTGAAGATTTTGGGAACCCATCCTCTCAGAGGAGAATAGTACATGTAGCACAATGGAGGCTATGAGACCAATTCCTTCCATCCACTTGAATTTGGACAATACGCCTAGGTAAGTTCTCCTTCCATCATTGTTCTAAGAAACACAAATAAAATACCGAAGAGCTTGAAAATCTCTACAGCTCCAGACCAGAGCACAAGAATATTAGATCTTTTGGCCTGACTGTCAGTAACCTTTTCCCCACCCTTACCTTATTAAAGGTTCCTGAATATGAACTATGTTTCATACATGTAATTTAATGAGAATGAACCCTGGGAAAGTCCTGTGCACCACTAGAAAGCCCAAGAGATAACTCAGTACCCTGTCAGTCTTGCGCAGAGACCCAGTGAGAAGCTCCCAGGCTGGGGTACACGTGTTTTAAAATCTAAAAGCCTGGTTTATCTGTGTGCAGTGCCTTTTACTTTCCTGTCACCCTGACACCGCTTTTCTTTTCATGCCACATTTTTTTTTAACTTGGACTTTCCCTGAACACGTCTTCCTGTGTTCTTCAATACAAATAGCTGCTTTTTCCTTTACCACTCTATGTGCACTTTGTAATTATTTGCTCACTGTGCACCAAAGCCTGGAATCTATTTGTCAGATCTACTCCAGGTTATCAGAGTCCCTTGGGTCAGGATTGTTGTAGTCACTGGGCTCTGTTCATCATGAGGCAGTGACCAGTATGACTATGGTTAGACCTCCATGAGAGCAAAATAGCAGGCCCAGAGGAGTTGTGTCTCTGTCAGGGGCCCAGGGCATGTGCAAAGTGCACTAACAAAGCAGAAGAGAGAAGTCTTTCTAGGAACAGAGCAAACCACAGAGTTGCAGGGATTCAGATATGGGTCAAGGATGAGAGGAGAGAAGGCTGACAAATAGGCAGGCTGGCTTGGAATGGTGCAGAGCAAGGACCACTCCACAAGCAAGGAAAGGGCAGTACGATCTCATCTAGCCTCGTACTTCTAAGATGGGACTGCTGAGCCCGGTGGCACACAGGCTCTTGTCTGGTTTCCTCAGTGGCTATATGAGCCTAGATGAGGGAGCCTAGTAATCCCCATCTCTGAGAGACATCTCTGTAGCTTACCCACAGGAAGCCCTGCTGTTCTCCCGGTGCCCCTAGTTTTTCTGGGCTTTGGCTTCTTGTCACTACGCAAGCAGCTAATCACAGGTCATATGTGAGATCTGCACATCCCCAAATAGGGTGACTTTCTTTTTCCTTTTGCCAGTCTCTCTCTGAATAGTTTCAACTTGATGCTTCTGAGGAACTATCCAAGTGAATCTACAAGTTGTAATGTTAGCTTATAGTATTATTTAAGAAAAAGTCTCTAGCTTTTCAAAACCAGTTTAATTATCAATTGCCTTTGACTCTATTATTTTAATCTTTTGTTTCCCTCTTCTAGCTTGTATCAATCCACACAGTTAAACTGATATAGCTGCAGTCAAAATGCACACATCATTTGGTGTTCTCTCCCTTGATATGTCAGTGTTCCCACTTTCCATGTGTCCACAGACTCTTCCTAACTACCATTTTAGTGAATATATCAGCTTTAATCATAGTCCTTTCACTATAATTTACTTAATAGTTTCCAAAGTGTTGCACATGGGGGTGTTGCTTCCCATATCTTCTTGCTAATATTGCTAATGTTAATTAACATACTTGTGGGCATAGCGCTATTTTTTTTTTTTTTTGGCCTGATGAGATAGTGATTCTTAAAGGGAAAAAGCCCCACGGCCGTTTTGAAATAAACTTCTGGACTCTCTGAAGCAATATTTACATCTTTAAAATATGGCAGCAAGTAGACTGCGGAACTCCTTCCTGTGACACGAAGACAAGGGGGCCTGGAGCACAGTTTCACATCAGCTGTCTCCTTGAAAGAAACCAGTGGAAATTCATCCAATGGCACCTGGGTAAGTCCATTTATTTTATTATTCTATTCCCTTCTCTTTTAAAATAGTATGGAAGCTTGTGGGCCAAGTCGCTAACATTTATGCAGAAAATGAAGTACTCGAATTGCCAAATGTAGGAGGCAAGACAGCAGGACCTCCTCCTGCCACGCATCTGTCCCTCACAAGCCAGTTTCCATTTGGCAGTGCTGCTTGGATAACCACCCATTCAATTTCAAAATCAATTCCACAGCAAAGAGAGAGCTATTTCTCTATAAGTGCAGTACATCTGACGTATTTAAGATGACGCTTCCAATCAGAAGGGGCTATGAACAATCTCAGCCACACTAAAAAGCCTCACTTTTTAACACTATGGCAAATACTACTGATTTCAGCCATAGGGTAGGCTCTGGCTCAAGGTCTTAAAATCTATGCTATTGTAGCTTAAAAATCACGAATTGATTGAATTTTTTCATTTTATAAGAGACTGGGAGTTATTACCAATTGCTGAAAGATTCAGATGAAATTAAATGAAAGCCGTCCTTGTACAGATGCTTTAGATAGGAAGACTTGGAATCTGACGTGCTTTACCACAATCAGGACCAGGATCAGACAGCTGAGCGAGGACAGCCTGAAAATGTCCCAGGAAGTGAAATTCAGGTCCTTTTCATTCATCATGGTATGGAGAGGCACAGACCTCTCAGAAAAGAACGCTAATAAAACATCGCACTCAGAGTAATAATGGTCTCCCCTCATTCAGCTCCATAATGATAAGTGAAATGGTGTTAGCATAAGGCAAGCTCAATTTTTGTAGTTGGTGAAGCCAGGGCTATGACAGAATTAGAATGCAGAGAGTTGATTGTTCACATTTCAGAGAAAAAATATGAATTTCCTAAACCTATGCTAATGCTCCTACTCTGGTAGAGGAATCTGATCTTTGAGGCGGGCCAAGGTCCCCAAAGTACAAAAGCAGAGTACCCAGACCTTCCTGGACTTGATGGTGAAAGGGGTCTTACAGAGCCTCCTTTGTACTCACTTTGTAGCAACATCTTTGTGTTAAGCAACCACCACGGGCCAGGTCCTCTGCTAGCTCCTGGGAATATAGGTAGAAAGAAGAGGAAACATGATCCCAGCTCTCAGGAGCTTACATTCCAGTAGGGAAGATGAAGATGCGATTGCAAGAAAATTAGTCGAGGAGAGTTGGTAGCAAAGGCATTTTTCAGTAACTGAAATTGCTAGCAGGCTAACAAAGTGGCTAAGTTGCCAGATTTAGGAAGAAAATGAAAACAGTGGTACCTGGTGAGGACCGAATCGTGTGAAGCCATCTGCGTGGGCCCCTCTCCCACCCAGGCCCCGCCCACCAGCTGACCGGTGAGCAACAGCCTCCCCTTCCCCCGCTTCTGGCTTCAGGGCCTCCCTTGTTCCCCATCTGAACTGCAGAAGCACAGGGGGTCTTCGTGGCCAGTGCCAGAGCAGAAGCGAAGAATAGTAAGAGGGCCTTACTCCTTCTAAGTCCCAATCTTGAAGGTAAAGTTACTATATGATCAGTTTATTCATTATAAACATAGTTTGGGCTAAGCTTCAATTTTGTTTTATTTCACATGGTTAAAGGTGATAGATTAATAAATACCACAAATTGTCATTTTCTCAGCTGTGTTTGATTGTATTGTTGTTTGCAATTTTATCACTTGGGCTAGTGTTGTGATTGATCTAGTCTGTTATCTTTCCTGGTACAACGAAAATGAGGTTGTCCCAGAGTTATTAGAGTCTCAAATCCTAAAGACCAGGTATATCTGGAAGACACCTCTGAGAAGCAATCATTCCTTAAGGTTTTTAAATACTAGCAACAAAGATATTTACAATAAGTAATATCTAAGTATCAACCCAGGGGCTCTTCAAATCATTTTCCTTTTTCTTTTATTTTTTGGTACCAGGGATTGAACTTGGGTACTTGTGCTTGCAAGGCAGGCCACCGAAATGCTGAGCTAAATCCCTGGCCCTCAAATCTTTTCCATATCAGACATTCTATAAACTAAAGAAAGCATATTTGGCAGAGACATTCCTCTTTACCAAGTGCAAGCAGATGCTAGTATGATGAATAAAAAAACAAGGTTATTTGAAAGAAGACCTGAATAGAGTTCTCTTTGTTATTACCTGTGTTCTTCAGCGATGGTCCCTGAAATCTCACTCTCTTGAGGTGGTTGAAAACCCCTGACCTTAAAATCTGGTTGCTGTGACTCAGACAGACTGAGAACCACAGCTTCAGGGGACTTCTCTCTCAGGTGTGCTGTCTAGCCAAGGAGCTGGCGTCTTTTGGGAGAATCACTGGTGTCTTTGATGAAATGGACAAAACATAATTGTTCTCTTGACTCCCCCAAAGGCCATCACAGCATCTACACACACAGCTTTGTATGCAACTTCAGAGAGTATGCAGATGCCCCATCTGGATCCTAAAATTTATTTGCAGACGGGAATCTGAGTCACAGACCAGGGACTGAATCTCAGTCATCCCTCAGTTCACTGGTCTGAGGTTCAGCATCCTCATCTGGGCATCTGAATAGGAGTAGGGGTTAAATGTGATAACCCAAGGAAGGGCTGATACCCCTTCCCTGCTCAGTGTGCCCCAGTCCAGCATCCAGACAGCTAGAGAAACAAACAACTAAATAAGCAAAAAGTCTACCACCAAGGAACAGAGACTTCCTGTCCCTAAAAGAGCTTCTGCCCTCTAAGTGCTGTTTAAGTGCACATTTTACATGCTTTTCATTAGCCTCAGTAGCAACCACTTTTGTGTGGCCTTGATTGCCCAAGCAGGGCTACTGCAGTGACTTGTAAATGTTAATGGCTCCTTTGACCAGCTCTCCTCTGGCTGATTGCTGGTGCGGACTGAAGAGCCAGCAGGCTCCCATCTGCCTCTTCATCTCTGAGCTGAAGCCTCTGGCCCTGCTTGCTCCTGCAGGAGGCTGCAATTTGCAAGGGCTGTGGGAAAAAGCCCTCAACCTCTACAGGGTCTGGGTCTGGGGGCTTTCATGCCATGTTATTCGTACTGGGTCAGAGGGCAGCAGCAGAGAGAATGAAGGCTGACTAGAAATGCAGCTTGGGCCCCACGCAGACTTACTGAGGTGGAAACTGCATGTTCACAAGACTGCTGTGGTAATTCTTCTACACGTTAATCCTTGGGAAGCCTTGCTAAAACGACTGAAGGTGCTCATAGGCTTGTACTGAAGAACTCCCAGTGCTGCACAGGAAAATTTGACCTTGGAAATAAGGCAGTAGGAATGATAAGCTTCAACAAGTTTCCCTTTTTTCCCACAATCCAGAGTGCTCACAGAACGACTGGCGGCCAAAGTGTTTTTACTGCAGTTCTAGATTCCTTGCTGAAACCCACCTCACCTCTGTTTACCCAGACAACGTCTAAGAAGAAAACAGGTGAGAGTTTGAGTCTTGGCTTTGCCATTCATGCTTTCCATAACCTCAGGTAAAACTGTTACAAAAAGACCCAAGATTCTCACCTGTAAAACGGGAATAACAATGAACAATCATCTCAGAACTGTGGGAGAAATGGAATTCTACACATGGAACACTAATCCAGTGCCTGCCCTCTGGTGAGTCAGCAGTAGATACGAGCTGCATGCTTTGTTCTTGATGCTGTTGATGTAATTTCCTCCTGGACTGAGGGCTGCAAGGGCAAGGGCTGAGGCCACCCTCCAAACACCCAGCTCATTTCTGGGGTGAAAGCTTGATCTCTTAAAGGCAAAGTGAGCCAAGCAGCATTTCCCCTTACATGACTTAATGACCCCGAGAGCTCTGGGAGGTGGGTGTTATGGCCTCCCGTTTGTGGATTATGATCCAGAGGCAATGGGGCACTGGAAAATTCACCCAGCTAACAGCTTGTCACTTTGCCCTGAGCCTCCTTCTCATCACTGAGTCTCTTGATTTTGCCTCACCTCTTCCTCCCAGGTTCATTTTCTCTTATATTTGTAGCTTCTCAGGGTTCCAGGAGATGGTATCGTGTCATGGTGAGGAAGAGGAGACCCTTGGTGTCATGCACATTCACAACAGCAGCTGAGAGAACTTCTTACCATCTACCATGCATCCACCTCATTGCCCTGCAAACCTATCCTTCCTGAATACTTTTCCAAATTCCAGGCTCTGCCCTACCAGGGGCATGGCTTGGGGTCTGACTGCCTGCAACTCACAACTCACACTACTTATTTTCTGTTGTAACCTATCAGCTCACTTTTTTACTTAAGCAAATGGGCTTTAAAATGAAGCCATATCCCTGCCATAAATGGAAATGTACCATCACTTTCCATTCATTGAGGGTAAAAATAAAATAAGAAACAAACAACGATCTTCTATCTAGCTGGACAAAGTTGCCCATGCAGGCCTTATGCCCCAGGCATTGTTCTCTTCCTCTGACATAAGATTAACAAGTAGTGGTCAGTGCCAGAGTCTCTGACATATATAGCTTCCAGGGGGATTGGGAAACCGAGAAAAAGCAAATGCGCTCACCACCACATGATCTGCTGAGATGTCATGATCTTTGGGGGTTAATAATATCATTTCATAAGCCCCCAGAGAGTTCACTCCTTGGAAAGCAACACTGAAGCACATGCTATGCCATTAGCTGGTACTGAAAGGGATGCCGGCATCCCAATTCTTCAGCCAATGTGCCCTGCAAACAACGATGGAACAGCACGCTGGTGCAAGCCACTGGCCTGTGGACCCCAGCTCTGGCAATTATGTACCATCTACCAGAGAGAATTCACTGTACTACTTCTGCTTCTCTTTTCTCATCTGTAAAAGGCTGTGCCAGTAACAATACCTTATGTAGTTGCTACAAGGAATAAGCACATGACAAGACATGTAGAGCAGAGCCCCATGCCACATAAATGTGAACGGTGTGGGCACTCGGCCGTGCTAAGGTGTCCAAGGGTGAAACGTGACACGGAAGTTGTTGCCTGTGAAGTCCTGTGTGCCAGGCCCTTGCAATCACTTTTACATATTTTTCCCCATAAGCTTACCGTTTGCATTACTTTTCAAATAGTTCCCACTTTCTGCCTTCCATGTCATGGTATGACTTTACTTCCATAAGAAATTATGCATATCCGTGTGACTTTCTGTGGCTAATGAAAGGTGAACAGAAATAACCTGTGTCATAGCCAGCAGAAACTTTCAAAACTAGTGTGTGATTCACCACGTTCCATTTTTGCTGCTTCAGTAATCAAAGAAATACAGAGATCCTGAGTCAGTGTGACTTGGGCCGGAACTCCCAGCTGATGCAAGATGTAAGGGGGGCAGGCAGGAAGATCAAACTTTGCTTTTTAAGCCACTGACTTCTAAACAAAAATACTACATCAAAACGTATCATATCGTGCCTGAGACAAATTTCTAGGTGCTGACACACACCTGAGCTCTTGCAGCAATCAAGAACTCCCTGCTTCTTGGAGTCTAGATGAGAGACTGAGCCAGGTCCTCATTTCAGTTGCGATGGGCATGTAGTGCCAGAACCACTCTCGGTTCTCAGCAGTCTTGCTGCCCCTCCCCTGATTAATCTCCAGTAAAGAAAGTAAGGGGACTTGGGCTCTGGATTCTTCTGAAGCTCCCACCTTCTTGCAGAAACTTGAGAAATGATTTTTCCTTTTGGTGTTTTTCATCAGACTCACTGCATCCCACAGAAGGAAGGAACTCCACAAAGCCATTCATTTGGGCCCCTGTTTACCTCCTCTCCTTATCTGGACTTTGCCAGAATAATTCCAGAGGCAGGAAACTTATTGACCTCACTTATGATCATAGATCTGGGGAGGACTCGAGTCATCCTGTACCACTGCACGGTGTGCGCCTGACTTTCCTGAGGGTGAAGGGCTTGGATGACGCTTACTTTGCAGGCTGGTTATATAACCCATTAGTTAACATAGCCAGGGCGCTTGAAAAATAAAAGTGAGGGCTAGGAACAGTTGTACTGGAATGATAGGTATAAAGCGAGACCATCTTGGACAAATCAGAACATATGGTCTCTTCGTGTCGATGAGTCCATGGCCACTAGCAAATTGTATACTTCAAATTTCTTGGGCAGGATTGTGCCCTGCCTGGTAAGTAACCCCGACTTCAGTCTGTGCACCCATTCTCCTCCTAAACTGCTGATGGTCATTGTTGGAACCATCTCCATTCTCTAACAAATACGCTTGTGAGAACTTCAGGCTCAGAGCCGTTTCAGAAAGCATGTACCTAGGAACAAATTTAGAAGCTTCATAACCCCAACTGCTATCTTGATCAGATACATATTTAATGCCCCCTGATGGAGCCACAGATGCAGACTGCTTACCCCTTCCTGGCATTTTACAATGCTGCCAGGTCCCAGTATGGTTGCTGTGAGGGCCATAGGATGCCTGCAGCTACTATCTATCTTTGTGCCCCCATAAGACCTGACTCTCAGGAAACTTACCCACAAGGTAATAGAAGGAAAGCAGGGTTTATTAAGTTTCCTTCTGCAGCATGTTTGATTGTATTTCTGCCTTGGGCACAGGCTCATTTGCATGGTGGATTTATAGCTTTAATTTGAATATTATAGTTGTTTTATATAAACCACCACCCTGGTCCCTCTTTAGATTATTCTGTTAACAATTCACTGCCTACTACATAGAATCCTGTAAGACCAGGAGCCTCTAATACGAGATTAACATTTCCATGGGGACAGAAGAATATAGAAGTGGAGGATGGAAAACGAGCCAACTGTTAAGTTTCTGAAACTCTTGATCCCTCTCCAGGGTAGTCTGGTGATCATGTACAACTCAGGTACATTCAGCTGCAAGAATCTTTGAAAGTTGGAGTTTGTTTTTATATTACCGCTTCTCTAGGGGGGGACTTTGAAAGTTTCCTCTTATCTTCTTTCCTTTGTTTATTCTTTCTAAGTAACAGTTAAATTTTACAGAGTACAAGCCAGTTGCCAAAGCACCAGGTTCATTATTCAGATTATGGTGTTGCAAAGGACAAGTTTGTCCCACCCCTCTGGGAAGTAATGCTTTTGCCAAACAATGTGGACATCAAGAAACAATTACACATTCTTTCAATTATGTATTCTAAACATCTGTTTTTCTGATGTTTAAAAATTTTAAATATGATCTATTTGAAAGCACTGGAGAGATTCTCAGGTATCAGAACTTAAGGGGGCGCTGAGTCTGAGATAGTCCCTTGAGGCATTTGCCATTTTTAAACTAGGGTTGGGAAGGGACACAGAGATAGAGACAGTGGGAGAGAGAGGGGGGGAAGGGCAGGGAAAAGGAGTGGGAAGACTGAGAAGGTGGGAAGGCGTAGGAAGAAGAGAAGAGAGGAGAAAATGAAAATATGCTTAAGGAACCCAGCAGAATTGTGGCTGAACACTTAAGTGGTCTATTTAGTATTCTACTAGTTGCAAGAGAAAGACAAAAATTGAAAATCAAGTCTCTAAGGATGAGGGATTCTGGAAAGCACATAAAATTCTCACAAGGGACCCTTCAAGGGTTATGGTATAAAACCAAGGTTGAACTAAAGGTTGATCAAGCATCGCAAAGACTGAAAAATGAGCCTTACCTAAATGAATCTCCTCATTGGTTTGAAGTATTATGGTGCTACTGTAGCTATCTGACAAGAAGATAAGGTGAATATATTCTCTATTACTAAACGGAAAGGAATTTCAATAGAATAATTTTACTCAGAAGTGCGGAGAGAATGAAGTATAGGGAATAAAAAAGGCTAAGAGACATACAGAGCATGTTGTAGAGTCTAACATTCATATGGTTTGATTGACAAAAAGACAGGGAAAAGCAGCGTTTAAAGAGAGATGGCAAGGAACGTATGAAAGTAATGAAAGACATCCAACCTAAGCCCAAGAATCTTGAAACTGAAAATTAAATCAAGATAATACCACAGGTCTATTGGAAGCACTAAAATCCAAGGCACTGATTTTACAAAATGCCAGGGAGGATGTAGGGCAAAAGGAACTCTCATTCACTTTTGGTGAGAATGAAAAATGATACAACCATTTTGGAATATAGTTAGGCATTTTCTTAATAAGGTCAACATAGGCTTACAATACAATCCAGTATTTGTGCTAATAGGTACTTACCCAAAGGTGAAAGCTTGTATCTACATAACAGCCTGTACATGATAGTAGCTTTGTTTGTATTATATTCAATAATATTTCAGTATTAGTTATATTCATAATTGCCCCAAACTGGAAGCAACCAAGATGTCCTCGAGTAGATGAATGGTGATGCAAACACAATGGAAAAGGAGCTACATTAAAATGAGTTAACGAACCAACCAACCCATGGAGTCACTGTAAATGCATACTGCCCGTGGAAAGAAGCCAGTCTGAAAAGTCTGTGTACTGTGTGACTCCAAACAGATGCTGCTGGCAAAGACAAAAGACAGTAAGATGAACAGTGGTTACCTGGGGTTTTAGGGTGGGAAGGGGTGAAGAGATGGAGCACAGGAGATTTATGTGGCAGTGACGTTATTCTACGGGAAGAATTGTACACATGGCACTGTTCATTAGTGGGAACCTATAGGACTGTGTGCACACTAAATGAGGCACTCTCATTAATAAACAATGAGTCCGTATTGCTTCATCACCTGTGTCTAACGTATCATACTACATCAAGATGGTAAAAATAGAGGGGCTGCATAGGACTACTCCACACTATCCATTCAATTTTCTGTGCATGTGAAAGGGCTACTTTACAGGCAATTGCCAAGAAAAAAAGTAAGAGAAGAAACAGACAAAATGTAACAAAAGCAGGGCACATTAAAGTAGCATTCAGTAACTTAGTGGTGGAAAATATTCAATAATGACATAGAAGATCAGAAACATAATTCAAAAAACCCGGTCCAGCTGATACAGGTACAGCACAGCCAGCTTTGCCTAAAAATGCACTCTGTTAGATTTCAGCAAACAGAATTTGAGGACAAGCAGAAACATAAAGCAAATGTTAATATATTCTAAATGAACCATGTCATTCTGACTATGCTGGGATCGAGCCAAATATCAATAGCAAAAGAATATTAGAAAATCTAACAACTTGGAAATCAAGCTCTGCATTTTTAAATAACCCTTGTAATGAAAATGAAATCACAAAGTTATAAAATACTTCAAGGTAAAAATGAAAATAGGTCATAGGAAAGTTTGGAGGATGCTAAGGAATCTGTGATTAAAAGGAAACTTTGGCTCTTTTTTAATATTTAGATCTTTAATCCACTTGAATTTTAGTTTAGTGCATGGTTATATGTGCACCTATGTTTATAGCGGCACAGTTTGTAATAGCTAAAACTTGGAAACAGCCCGTTTGCCCATCAGTTGGAGATTGGCTAAAGGTGTGATTTTTCTTTAAAATGGAATACTACTCAGCCATAAAGAATGAGAAATTAGAGTCATTCATAGGAAAATGGATACATATTGAGGATATGCTCCTAAGTGAAATACATAATTCACACATGTATAAATACTGAATAGTTTCTCTGGTGTGCAAAGCTACAATGGTACATAAGATCCTAATGATATAATTGACAATGTAAAATAGGAAGAAAAGGGCTAAAGGTGTAGGGGAAGTGGAAAGGGTAAGGGAAAGGTAATAAGGGGAAAGAAAAAAATGAGAAAATGAAAAAATGGAAATAAAGTATTTGTAAATAGGGAAGGGAGGAGGGGGTGAAGGGAGGGCAGGGACAAGGGGAAAAAATGAGAACCAAGACCTGTCATATAAAGGTACAAGATCCCAATGATGAATGTAACTGTACTGTATACCTAAAATGTATCAATAAACTCATTGAGAAGAAAAAAAAAAAGGAAACTTTTAGGTCTAAACACTTAGGCTAATAAGAAAGGCCGAAAATTTTTAGCACCAGCCTCAAGAAGTGATCACAGTCAACAGAGTCCAAAAAGAAGATGAAGGGAAAAAAGGAACAAAAGTGATGAACTACAAACATAAAAGTTCAAAAGAGAGAAAAATTGAATCCTTGAAAAGGCCAATAAATTTGCTAAGTCTCTAGCAAGTCATGAGAAAAAAAGGGAAGGGAATAAAATACATCAAAGAGGAGAGCCATTGTAGATCACACAGACATTTAAAAAGAAAACAAAATGTTTTGAAGAATTCTATGCCTACCAATTTGAAAATGTACAGATAGTAGACAAATTCCTTGAAAGCATATTTAAAAAAATTACTCAGCGGTGCGGCCCCTGCCTGACCAGCCCAAGGTCCTGAGTTTGATGCCAGGTACTGGAAAACAAAGAAACTAATAAACAAACCAAGAGAGAATTAGAATGGTCCCATATCATTTAAAGAATTTGAATCTACAATGAGTTCTTCTGCAAAGACACTTCTGGGCACAAGTATCTTTTCTCATACATTCTCTTGAATCTTTAAGGAGAACCAATAGAAATTCTACACAAATGTTTATAAAAAGTTGAACAATGATTTTTCCAAATTTATTTTATGAGAATGACATAAAGCTGATTTCCAAAACCTGACATAAACAGTAGTAGAAAAGAAAGTTACAAGAAAATTTCAGGAGGATAAATGAAACATCTAAACTAAAAATTAGCAAATCAACACTAGTGACATTTATGTGTGCATGTGCTTATGTGTACAGACAAGTGATTGATTTTATTTCAAGTCCAAAGTTTGAAAATGAAGTTTGTTAATGTAATTTACTACATTGTTAGAATAGGGGAATAAAATCAATGTAATTTATCGCATTACTAGAATAGGGGAATAAAAAACACAATCTCAAAAAGACACTTTTAAAATCAATCCCTGTTCATAATACAGATTATTAAAACAAAGAATGGAAAAGTCATTCTAAAATTTGATAATGTATTTATAAGGCCTTATATTAAATATATTTAATTATGAAATAAATATTAAAATACCAGTATCAAATTTTAATATCAAACTTTCTGTGACCAGAAATGGGACAAGTATGCTTACTAATACCTTGTCTATCAAATGCTGTACTGAAAGTCAGAGAGGAAATTTCAGGAAAATTTATAAAGGCACATTCAGTAGGAACAAAGTTAATATAAAAAATGTGCGGTACTTTTACATAGTAACATGAGAGCAATGGAAAATAAGATTTAAAGTAGAAGTAACAAAGCATCAAATATTGAGGTGTCCCATCTCTAGTTCTCAGGGCCTTTTTTCATAATTGTTCTTGGTCTTCTAAGTACAGAGAAGCTGTAAAAAATCTCACTGTGCTTTTCTGAGTTCACGTTCAGCCCCTTTTCTGCTCTATGCAGCTTCAAAATTCAGTAAACATCTTCAGGAAAAAAAAATACCAGTAGTTTGAAGCCATTCTATTCAAGCCTTTCCATCCCAATGAGTTCCTATGAATACGGAAATACTGAGTACTGAACTCCTTCTTCAAAGGAGACCCGGAGTTAGGTTACCGTGTCTGCTTCAAGTTCTGTCCTGTCTTATTCTTTGCACTTGCCCCAGTATCAATGTCTTGTCTGGACTGAGCCCAAATTCTCAACCTCTGACCTATGCCCAGAATCAGCAAATGTCCGAGAGGAAGTTAAATCCTAGCTCCCTGCAATGTTTTCCTTCGTGAAATTTCATATCTACTGACCTTCATTATTTCTGAAGCTCTCTAATGCTTTAAATGATTTTTGAAGCCTATTAAGTTTTTCTTCTTTTCCATGGAAATAATGGCTCGCAAGACCTCTATTCTAATAGGAAACTAGGTCAATGATTACCTGTAAGGAAGAGATGGGTAGTAACGTGGCAGGTAGGGCAGAGAGCATCTCTGACTTAATCTTTTGGAGCTTGAGTTTCATTCTTTTAGGAAGCCAGGTGTGACAGCATGTGCCTGTAATCCCAGCACTGGAGTGGCG